TTTTTTTTTTTTCTTGCAAAGTCAACCCTTTTGTTGTTACGGTAAAAAAAAATAGCGAATATATTGATTTTTAAATTGTGAACGGACGATTAGCAGTATTTGCAGATAATGGAATATTTCTATTGTGAAATTTATTGAAAATTATTATTTTACTTAGTTCATTAGCTTAAAACTAGATATTACGAGTTTTAGGTTTAAAGTATGCTGAAATATGTTGAACTTTTTTATCTTATTTGGTTTACTAGGTTTAAAAACTAATATTGGTTTTTAGATTGTAAATGGATGGCTACCACTGTGCGCAGATATTTTCTTATAAATCTATTGCTCTCTTCCAAAATTCTGAGAGATGATTCTAACGATACCTTTTTGTCATGTATATATACACTCAATAATAACTATAATTCAATGTTCTGTAGTCTCACATGTATTCTCACTTGAAAATTTATCTAACTAGTAGTAGTTTAACAAATCATTTTATTATTTTGTACACTGTTCATAGTTTATCTTTCATTTTCTTAATTATAATAATTTTCGAATAACGTATATCAACATATTTCTATTAAGTTAAATGGTAATTCAAAAATCTGTTCAAGAATTGAACAAAATAAAAAATCAAATTCGTCTGAACATAAGATCACAAAGGGTTAACTGATTTAATTGCGAGAACATTAAAATACAATTATTTTTATTTGCATCTTCAAAGGGCTTATTTCTACCTGCTAAAAAACAGACAAGGTGAACCACTTGAAGACACTTTTTGATTTGCATCCTGCAACAAAAGTCGTCTATGCAACTCCATCTAACAAAAATCAACGATGATGAGAAAGGAGAGCAGGTAAAAAAGATTCTAAAACTCTAAAGAAAACAATCGTACTATGGCCAAAAAAAAAAAAAAAAAAAAATGTAACAGCGATGCAATAGATACTGTCAGATACTCTTTTATTATGTTCGATTAATTTGGATATAAATAGATTATAAATAAGTTCGTGCAATAGTCAACGTGTCACTATAAACCATGCTTCGAGGTGCGTCTAGCTTTTTCTCTCGTACGAGAAAATTCGCTTAATGAGTGTGTTCTATGTATACGTTTGTGTAATATAAAAAGAAGAAAAGAAGCTCTTCTTCGCATCGACGATACTTTTCAATTGAACGCGCTGCGTTTCGACGAGATCGAATCGTGTCGTTTCGTGCCCGGGAAAAGAAGAACCCGTGAGTAATTTTCTTTTTGTGCCTTTGTTAATAACGTTACCCTGCTTGTTCGAACTGCGAGAAAAAAGAAAAAAAAATAGAATCGTGCGTTATATCGAAACCGAACGCTCTATGTGTACATATAGATTACACATTATTGTTCTTATGTTCTCTTATTATTTCTTTTCTCTCTCTCTCTCTCTCTCTCTCTTTTCTAAACATTACTCTTACTATAATATTGGAGATAGACTCTGGATCACCTGGGTCAACGAGTCAAAATTAAGTCCTCTATAGAAACAGACTTGCCCGTAATGGAATCTCGTGGAACAAGTGAATATATTGTCGCGCTACGTTCTACAGTAATCGTACTTTAATCACTGTCAATTAGGCAGCGGACATATCAGCCTCTTCGCATGAATATTTTGTGCGCTTCTTTCGTTTCGTTTCGTTTTCTGTAAATGTATATGTGTAACACGATCTGCGATGCTCAACGGAGTGATTATAGGTTGAATCTCGGAAAGATGTTGGCTCGATCGATTTCGCTGAGCACTTCAGCAACGTGTTGTTGAATGGCTGAATGCGCTCCCTAATCGTTCGATAATGTGAAACACTTGGTCCTGTAATAACTAATCTCTTATACAATCGTAGAATCATGCGAAACACGTTTCAACACTAATAAACCGATGATCAAACTTCTTTCTGTATGTACGTTTCCTCTTTCTATTTTATGCGCTACACGCGGATAAATAATAATCTTTCGCAAGAGGTTCTCCCTACGTCGTTACTACGAACGGAATCGCGAATCAGAGCTATGAATTACAAACGAGTCGTTGTCCCTTGCGTAAAATCGAATCGAAAAAGTTTCCCCTCTCCTTGCGAAATTCGTATACGCGATTCGCGAATGGCCTTTTTATCGTTAAGTATAAAAAATCGAAAAGATAGCAAAATATCGAGAGATTCGTTGAACGAAAGATCGTAGCAAGATTAATGGACGATTCGATGAAGCACTCACACATCGTCAAACAAACAGACGGACGAACGAACGAAATTCAAATGTACCGAGTTACACTTTGCAAATCGATGTTACTCGCTCGAATATCGTTGGCGTTATACATGTTCATTATCGCATGCGTCGCGTACGATACATCCTTCCGTGGATAACAACGACGAGTTTTATCCACTTATTTCCGTGTTATGTAAATGTATCGATTATTATGTAAAAATGCTAAATACTTGATAATTCCATGGACTGTTTTTACGGATGGTCGCCGTTAGTGCGATCCACTTCTCTCTATCGTAATACTGTATAAACACTATACGAATAATGCAGGTTCCATATAGCATGAAACACGATGAATATAATTGGTACTCATTAATTGACTTAGTTTATACACCTATGATAAATGTTAAGTAACTGCTCTCTCTCTCTCTCTTTTTCTTCCTTTCTTTCCTTCTTTTTTTTTCCTTTTTTTTTATCGC